AGCCAGGATTTAAAAAGTCCTACAAGAGACGGGGCAGTGCTGGACCTAATTTTAGGGAACAAAGCCGGGCAAGGTGATAAAAGTGTCAGTGGGAGACCATTTTGGTAATAGTGAACATTACTCAGTAGGATTTAAGATGGTCATGAAAAAAGACACAGAGGAGCAAGAAATAAAGTTTTTGATTTGGGGAAAGGCCAATATTAATATGGTACAGCTGGATATTGTTAAAGTGGTTGGAAGTAGCTATTTGTAAGAAAATCTACCCCCGAGCAGAGGGAGTCTTGCAAAAATGAAACTGAAACTACAGTGCCAACATGTTCCTGCAAAAGGTGCAGCAAAGTACCAAAAGGTCCAGAGAACTCTGGATAACAAAGAATGTACGGATCTAGTTAAGGCTAAATATTAGGGCCAGATTATTCAGGAGAGATGTCAGGACACAAAGAGTGGTAGAGCTATGGAAGTCTCTTCCAAAAATGGCAATTGATGCTTGATCAGTTGTTAGTTTTAAATCTGAGATAGATTTTTATTAAGTGAAAGTATGAAGGGATATGGGCCAAAGGCAGTTATATACAATTAGGCCACAGATCAGACATGATCTCACTGAATAGCAGAACAGGCTCAAGGGGTTGAATGACCTACTCCTGTTCCTACATCCCTTACGGTGGATATCAAGGGGTCAGAACACAGGAAGCCCTAAAGGCATTTTAGAACATACAAGGAGTTGGATAAAAGGAAATTAAGAAAGCAAAGAGGTGGCATGAGAAAATACGAGGGAGAGTAAAATAAAAGTAAATCCAGAGGCAATTTATAACTATATTAGGACCAAGAGGGTAACCAGGAAAAGAGTAGAGGCCACGGGGGACCTAAGTGGTAGATTGTTGCCCGATGATATGGATGAGGTTTCAATTAGTACTTTGCACCTGTGTTCATAACAGAGAAGGACGATGTAGGTATCAGGAAAGAGGACTGTGATTACTTGAATACATCACAACTGACAGGGAGGGTGTCTTAGTGACTTAAAATTGGATAATTCCAAAATTCGAGATGGGATAAATCTGAGGCTCCTGTGCAACACGAAAGAAGACATTGTGAAGGCCCTTACATTCATTTTCAAATCCTCTCTGGACAAGCAGTGGTGGGGAGCTGCCAGAAGACAGCTAATGTGGTACCATTGTTCAAGAAGGGTGGCAGGGATAAACCAGGTAACCATTAGCTAGTGATTTAAAATCAGTAGTAGGTAAACTATGGGGGAAAAAAAATGGAGACACAGAATAACTTTCTATTTGAAGAGGCAAGGATTAATCAAAGATCGTCAACATGGCATTGTCAGTGGGAAATCGTGTCTAACAGGTTTGATTGAGTTTTCTGAACAGGTGGCCAGGTTTTTTGGTTTTTGGTTGATGGCAGCACAGTTGATGTAGTCTACATGGAGTTCAGTAAGGCTTTTTCCAAGTTCTTACATGAATGACTGGTTAAGAAGCTAAGAGCCCATGGGGTTCAGGGCAATTTGGCAAATTGGATTCAAAATTCGCTTAGTGGCAAGAAACAGAGGGTGATGATCGAAGGTTGTTTTGTGACTAGAAGCCTGTATATAGTGGCATACCATAGGGTTCAGTGCTGGGTCCTTTGCTGTTTATTATTTACATTAATTATCTAGACAGATGACATGAGAATTGGTGTTGTGATAATAGCAAGGAAGAAAGCATTAGAGAATGGGACAATATAGATGGGCTCATCAGATGGGAAGAACAATGGCAATTGGAATTTAATCCCGAAAAGGTATGAGGTGACGCATTTGAGAGGACTAATAAGGCAAGGAAGTAAAAGCTGAATGACAGGACCTGAAAAAATAAGGAGGATCAGAGGAACCTTGCTACACATGTCCACAGATTCTTGAAGGCAACAGGACAGGTGGATAAGGCAGTTAATAAGGAGGCATGTGGGATACTTGCCTTTATTAATCAAGGCATTGAATACAACAACAAGGAAGTTATGATGGAGCAAAATAAGACATTAGTAAGGCTACAGCTGAGTGCAGTGTGCACTCCTGGTTGCCACATTATAGGAAGGATGTAATTGTATTAGGGGTAGGCTGCAGAGGAAATTTACCAAGATTTTGCCTGGACTGGAGCATTTCAGCTATAAAGAGAGACTGCATGAACATAGAACATTGCAGCGCAGTACAGGCCCTTCGGCCCTCCATGTTGCACCGACCTGTGAAACCAAATTGAAGCCCATCTAACCTACACTATTACTATACATATTCAATGCAAATGTCCCACTCTTTTCCACAGGACAAAAAGAAAAT